CATCTCAAACTGAGTCTTCACTTTGGCTCGCCAGGATGCCCTCGGCTGCTGCTACCCTGCCAAACCAGTGCTGCTACCTGTTCTCACTCTTCTAAGCGCTTTATGTACTTTAATTCATTGAATCTTCAGAGCAAGCCTATTAGGTCAGTTCTATTATTATTATACCCACTCTTTCCTTATACCCTTTCTATGAACAAAGAGCAGCTCCCAAGGTCACACAAACAGCAGCAGAGAGGTGGAATCCAGGCAGTTGGGCTCTGGAAGTTATACTCTTAATCACTGCACATATTGCCTCTGTGCCAATTATATATTTGAAGTATATATACTTTAAAAAAATGTGTTAGTGTAAAGAGGTCATACAGTTTGATACATATATGCATGATAAATCTGAGATCATTATGGTAAAAGTATTATTTCTTAAACCATTTTTTCCAAATGAAGAATTTTCTAATCTCTAAAAGGTTTATAACTGACTGGTAGAATTCAGAGGCTTCTGATAATAGGAACACACATTAGGTTTCATTTCAAATAAATATGTTTTAGCTTTGTTGAAGCATTTTTAAACTACATAATCTAGGTATTTAGACAAAAAAAAAGATTTTCAAAACTCTTCAATGCTAAGCTATAATATTAAGTATAAAGAGAAGAAATGGAGTTTTTAGTAAACTACATCAGCCCTCCCCCTTACACACACACACACACACTTTTTTGAAATCAAACATTGTGTCAATAAATCAAGGTAAGGAGACCAAGGGGAAAAAATATGGCAGAGGGAGAAAACAAAACCAGGACGGTATTATTCAGCTGTGTACTTAGCTTCAACAAGAGCTATCAATCTTTCTTTTCATGAACATTAAATTGAAAAGAAAAAAAAAAAAAAGAAAAAGAAAAATACAGATCAGTCTTCATAAACAGAGGCTAGAAGAATTTCAAGTTCTGAAAACCTGAACTGACAATCTGAAGCCTCTGTAACTCTCTGAAGGACTGCATGCATTTTATTCTCAGGCTTTATTCTTCATTTTTAATCATTTTGCTCTATGGCCACCCTGACAAGAGCTGATGGCATAGCACAGTCCACATGCCCACCTTTCAGAGGCAGAAGTGACAACCACACTCTAATTTCTAACTCTGTCCAAATGACTCATTTTTTTTTTTCTTCCTGTAAACTTGATGCCCAATAGCAGTAACATCACTGCAGAATCTTGAGGAAAAAAACAAAGGAGCAAACCCAAAACTTTGTTTCCTCAAAATTCAGATTTTTCTTCTTCATTTTTAAATAGGTTCTTTCTGAACCAAAGGAATGCTCTGTCCCTGTGAGCATATCTTTTCATGGCCAGGTAAGGACGCCCAGATCAAAAACAAAATATTAACACAGGACTGTACTTTTATATGGTGCCTTTCTGATTAAAGAAACAGTTATTCACCCAACAGGTATTTATAACATGGCTAGTATGTGTCGATAATGCTTTAGGCACCAAAAATTTGATAACTGTGAACAAGCTAGAGAATCTTGATACCGCCTTGGGCTTACACTCCAGTGGGAGGGATAAAAATAAAGAAAGAAAGGAGGGATCGTCTTCATGCACATTCATTGTAAGACGATAGAAATAAACAGCATCCTATCAAGTGGGAGAGCTGGCAGTGGGAGCACATTTTAGCAGGGTGTCTGATAAGTGGTATTAGAACTGATCTCTGAACAGTGAGGAGCCAGACTGCAGGGAACTGCCCTCCTTGCAGAGCAGATGGAAAGTGCAAAGGTCAAGAAGAGGCAGGAAAGAACATGCCATGTTCCCAGAACAGAGAGAAAATCAGGGTAGCTAGGCATGAGCATAGAGATAAACATATGAGATGAAGTGGGGGAGGAAAGAAAGATCTTTTAGGTCACACTGAAGAATAGGGTTATAATCTGGAATAGAAGCCACTGAAGATCTTTGATCAGTGGAACTACATATTTTTAAGGAACAGTAAGGCAGTTTTGTAGAATATGGTTTAGAGGGGAGCTAGGGCAAATGTAAGTTAGGAACACATCTATCGCAGCACAGGCAGGAGATGATAATGACTGGGACTAGTGTGATATCTGTGAAGATGGAGAGTAGCCCACTGCTCAAGATTGGTTTTGAGTTTGAAATGATAGAACCTGCTGACAAATTGGGTGCAAGAAGTGAAGACAATCAAAGAATATCTTGCCAGAAGATTCTGTTCAAATGAAATCATTTCTGTTGTGCTGCATAGTCAAAATACAAAAGCTCAGTTTCATATTACTTGAAAAAGAATGTTCCAAAATGAGAATACATTTCCAATTAAATTACATATATAGAGAGAATGCACCCGTTTTTTGGGTTTCTTTGGAAATAAATTTTAACAAAATCATCCATAGTTGATTTATAAAAGAAAATGAAAGAATGATTTGGCTACAATAATTTAATACATCAATTTAGACCACAAGTGATTAAGAAAAGCAGTTTAAGAAAATATAAAGGAAAACCGATAAGTATATAAAAATTATAATCTCAATATTGAGAAACAAAAGTCTCATTTTTACCTTACAGGATGCTTATAAATTTTTAAAAGCATTAGGAAGAAAATGGCATAGTTAAAATTCCCTATTTCATATTTGTGTATTTCATCTTTGTTAAGTCAAGTGGAATCCCCAGGAGGTACAACTGGTGAATGCATTAGCCCCTCAAGGAAAGGTTAGAGGCTTGAGTCTCCCAAAAAAGTACCTTGGAAGAAAGACCTGCTAATCTACTTCCAAAACATCAGCCTTGAAACCCCAGGAAGCACAGTTCTACTCTGGCCTGTAGGGTCATTATAAGTCAAAATCAACACATTAGCACAACAATGACGATCTACTACTACACAGGGACTTAACACCATACTCCTGAGTCTAACTCTCAATTACCACCATCAATTGGTTTAAACAGCTTAATCTCTATATTATCTGTATTCCAGTAGAAAAGTTTCCTTGCCTATATTTCTCAGATCAATGAGAATGGATGTAACATGAGTATGATGTAACATGAGCTTCCGTAGAGATACCGCCTCAGAAACCCAAGAAGGGGTCTCTATGAGTCAGGACCAACTTGATGGCAGTGAGTCTGGTTTTTGGGTAACACATGCCTGTCACTGGAGGCAGCTAGACAGACAGATGGACAGATAAATGTTCACCATGGCTCTGTTTCAATGGTGCCCCAAATTTAGAATATGTTTCTAAACCAAATTAGTTCCCATTATTTACAAAAAAAAAAAAAAATCATGCTTAACATTTGCAGTGTAGTAAATTACTTAGTGTGGCTTTTCTACACATAAGTATTTGTAAACTCAGTGGTGGATGAGCAACGGAGATCCTGATTGTAAATGTTATCCACCCAGGTTATTTCTGTTGGGCGTGGCACAACACAAAGTTCTAGGAGGCTCACTCTCTCTCAGGTGTTTAGAATTCTGATGCTATGATTGGTTGGTTTGGGCACTCTGCCGGGCTCAAAAGGAGGCCTCCTAGAAGCAGAACTCTTTCTGACTGCTGGCTAAGGACGTGCCCCTGAGAGACACGCATTGCAGTAAAGAGACATAAGAGACATGCGTTGCTGAGAGAGACACCGAGGGACACGCACTGCTGGGAAAGACACTGTGAGAGACAGTGGGCTGGGAGAGAGACTGAGCATTTTTCCTGAACTTGAATTGTAGCCTGGTGCTTCCCTAATAAACCCCATAATCTGCGAGTTCTGTGTGGCCACTGCAGCAAATAATCGAACCCAGGAGAGAGGTAGTGGGTGCTTTGGGAGGAAAGGCTGGAGGGAGACAGCATGTCTGGCCTCGCAGGAATAGGCCTTGGGTTATTGATAGTGACTCTGTCTTCCTCTTGTGGGGTTAGAGGAGGTCAGAACATGTGGTCTCCCTGCCCTTTCTACAACATTTTTTCACTTACACACACACACACTTATCATCAGAACAAAATGAAGTACTTGATTTCACTTCCTACTGTGAAAACTTGTGAGTTCTTCCTACATGATCACATTTCTCTTTGTTACCTCCTCAGTTGAGGAGCCCTTCTCTAAGGGAAAGAGCTGGGTTTCACATTTCTCTGGAATAATTCTTAAAACCTAAAACAGAATCGGCTGGCTCTAAGGTGGTTTGGGGAGCTCTGGTAGCGGAGTGCCTAAGGCACTTGACTGCTAACCAGAAGGCTGGCAGTTCAAACCCACCAGCCACTCCTCAGAAGGAAGATGAGGCATTCTAATTCTGTAGTGATAATGCCTCAAAAGCCTAAGGAGGGGTCGCTATGAATGGGGTCCGACTTGACGGCATATAACAACAACAACAACAAGGTGGTTTTAGGAGCTCTGGTAGCATAGTGCCTAAGGCACTTGATGGCTAACCAGAAGGTTGGTGGTTCAAACCCACTAGCCACTCCTCAGAAGGTAGATTGGGCAATCTACTTCTGTAGTGATACTGCCTTGGAAACCCAAGGAGGGGTTGCTATGAGTTGGGTCTGACTCGACAGCACTAACAACAACAACAACAACAAGGTGGTTTTGTTGGGTGCCACTGAGTCAGTTTTGACTCAAAGTGACCCCATGTGACTAATGAGAGTTGTCCCATAGGGTGTTCTTGAATAATCTTTATGGAAGTAGATCACCAGGTTTTTCTCCCATGAAACTGATGGGTGGGTTTGGACTCGAACTGTCAACATTTTTGTTAGCAGCCAAGCACTTAACTATTGTGCCACAAGGTTCCCCGGCCTGAAGGTAGATATCAGTAAATTCTGCTGGGGATTCACTCAGCATTCCAACCCAGCAGTAAAGCCCAGCTGCAGCGCATGAAGTAATATCTCTGCCTGGAAGCTTTTAGAAAGCTGTAGAATTTTTAGAAATCCTCTGTAGTATAAGATCAAATGTAACATCTTAAGGGAGAAAAAAATCAAAAATTAAAATTTAAAACTGTTTTCATAATTGAATACAGTTTGATCTGGAAACAAAATCTAAAATGAGCAGAAACGATACCTTCAAGCAGCTTTTTCTCTGAAGAGAGTTTAGTAGCAGCAGAAGGAGCTTGATACAAAAAGTCACAGAGAAAGGTGGACTGGGAGAACTCTTGAACTATTCTACCCTCAGAAGGAGTATCATGTTGTGGGAAATCTGAAAGAATAAAAGAAACAATAAATATGAAATCTAAAAAACAAGTTTTCCTTTCATATATACATACATAAGTGAGTTCTGAGCTAGAAAACAAAATATATGAAATAGATCATGGGATAAATATGGAGAGATATTTATTTTATTTTGAACAAAAGCAAATTAAAGTCATGGTAATGATTAATATAAAAATAGGATTTCATTTTGGTAGAAAAGACTATATGAGATTAACTATTTTAATCTTGGATTTATATGACTGCAAAAATGCATGAGATTTAGTTTACTAAACTTTCTTGAAATTAAGTAAAAAATCATTAGTCTTAAGCATTTTCAATATTTTTGGTGATTGTTTTTTCTTCCTGCTGATGTTTTTTTCTTATTTGAGAAATACACAGATTTGAGCTTCCATTCTTTTAGGAGCATACCAGATGAAATCAAATGAGTACAGGGATAGCAACTCACCTGAGAATTTGTTATGGTACAGAAATTCCATTTGCAGACTCTGCCCAGCCTTCTTGGCCAACAGATAGGGGGTGCTATGCTCAGGATCTCCGGTAGCACACATAACATCTGCTCCACTGAACAACAAAGCCATTGTTTCCAGAACATCTGATTTCACTACAGCAGCACACAGAGCCTGGTAGTTAAAAGAAAACACACTTTTTAAGGACAGAAAATATGAGCATTAAATTGAGAGAAAAGCTGCTAATTCATTTAAGACATGAAGTTTGCATTTCTTTTTCTTTTTCCAAGAAGGCTCATAATAATTGGGCCCTGAATTAGGCAATGAGAACAAAATGCCTGCTTACTTTGGATTTAAGTAACAGCCATGTCCTCTAAGTCTCAAATCACTGTTTTGTTGGTGTGGTGTTCCAAGCCTCACAGTCCACCACATTTGCTTCAAAAGGTATATTTATACTCACTACAACAATGGCTGATGTTTCAGAAAACTGAAAACTTCAAATGTAATAATGAAGTATCCACCAACATTCTGTCCTGCGAATGCTAACATATATGTGCGTGTGTATTTACGTATGAGTATGTGTTTATGGAGGAGCTCTGGTAGCATAGTGCCTAAGGCACTTGACTGCTAACCAGAAGGCTGGCGGTTCAAACCC